CCTGCTTCACATGAATTCCAAAACTGTATAAAATTTGTGAGGGTAACTTGTTTCCATACAAATATTCTTTTCTTATGTGCATGCAGAAGATAACTGTGCTAATAATGTTATCTTGGTTTAGGTTCAGCAAGTTTGTTTAATTTTATTTAAATTCAAATGTACTGTGTTGGGTTATCGTACTGGCATTGATAGCAGCCAAGTTTTTCATGGTGCTAACCATTTAAAAGTGTTCTTTATGATTTGGTTGGTTGATGTACAAAAGATATAGCTGATAAACTCATTTTGGAAATGAGACATTATTCAGTTTATTGCTACCGTGTTGGATGTAATCACAAGGAAAGGAACGCTGTGACACGAAGTACTTATCAAGGGGCCAATTATGGATGAACAGTTTATCTGCAAAATTAGTCAGTGGAATCCCCATTTTAAGACTTCTTGTGGGAGAGAAGTGGTATGAATTATATTTACTTAACGGAGGTTGTTAACACTGAGATATAATGGGGGTTAGGACCATGCAAATATAACAGTAAATGCTTTGAAAGTGCCTGTTCTTAGCCCACGTTTTCCTTTGAATAAAGTGTTTTGAATAATGATATGCTTATGATTACAGTCTTATTTGCATACAAGTTGACCAAATAAAAGTAACAGAAAGTGCTTGTTAGCTGTGCTGAATCCTACCTATGTTATGACTTATTTTCTTTACTTGTGTGGCTTTCTGGACCAGCTACTGACGGCATAGTGCATTCTCTTTGTGCGAGGAAGTTACATTCACCACAAGTGTAGTCTCAGCTACATTAACAGATTTATGCAAATTAGAGTTGAACCCAAATTGTTTTCTGAGAGTGCTAGACGAATTTAGATGCTTCAAGAATGTATTTTGTCCCTTATTTGTAGAGTATAGAAAGTTTTTGTTGTTGCAAGTTGAAATGTTCACTTAGTAATATAAATATAATTCTCCTGTGTAATATAATGTTGTTCAGTTGTTTATTTGAAAGAATTAACCCAAAATAGCAAATGTGACTTGAGAGAAATAATTGATGTAAGAGCTGCCTTTATTAACAGTTTAAAGCCCATTGGTAATTAACATGTAACACCTGCTTTATAATATTATCATTAATGGTAATTTAACCACAGAGTGTATTTATGGGTTCCATATGATCCTCAGAACAAATAGTGATTATTTTTTCTTTGCCACATGTTAAATGTAGCATGCGCATTCATGTTGAATAATTATAAATTAGCATTTCTGTTGAAGTTTCTAATGACAGATTTGCAGGCCATTATGTAAACATACTGTAGAGTTCAGCTTGCTTTTTGTGTCTTATAACATTCAGTGTCGGAGAATTTGTCTTAAGTAGAGCTACATGACCATGTAGTAAAATTAGTAACATGAAACTGTAGAAACCTGAACATATGATTTTCTCACACTTAATAGTATTTTATGTAATGGTAGTAGTCAAGTGTAGTAATGTAGCTTAATAACAGATATCAATAGAATATAAAGGACTATAGAAGAAATTACAAGGGCATTTGCTAGAATGCCTGACAGCAAATCCCAAAGCTGCTACATCAATGTAAACCAGTGGGTAGAAGACGCTTGACAAGAAAGTGGAACAGATTTAACTCTTTACAGAAAAGGTGGTGGCAGTTGTGATATGTCATTGTTTTACCTACATGGATTCTTGTTTGTGATATGTAATGGGCTGTATGTGTTAGTGTAAGTGGATAAAAAAATGCACGTGTATACTTGGGTGCAACAAAATTATTTGTGCAGGGTTTTATTTTGAATTCAGAAAAGAGATTGCAGTCTGCTATCAGCAGCTTATGCAGTGATCTAGACACATAAGGCAAGGAAATGAATCATAGTGCAGAATTTGGAGGTTGATTTGTAGATAAGCACATTCATTATCCACACAGCAGAAGGAAGTTGCATTCAGTGGAGTTCTTCTTAAAATTTAAGTGCATATGAAGAGGTGCATTCATTTTACTGTATCTCTTGAAAGAAATACTGACATACAGACATCTCAGTATCGCATCAGACCCAGCATCTCATCAGTTATGCACAGAAAGCCTGAATTTTATGAAGCTTATTTATGTGTTAAAACTTCACATTCTGGTGTTTTATAGATGGCACATTTTTTATTGCATATTATCAGCAATGTCTTGCTTATGCTTGAAAGCATATGAAGGCAGAAAATCCGCAGACATGCTGATGTAGAAATGTGGGTGCATTTCAGTAATGTTCTGCCAAATTCATATGCTTTCCTGAACATCACCAATAACCTGCAAACTTGAACTTTGTAATTTTCTTTTACCTTTATGTTATTTGCACTCCTGCTAACTCATCATAGTTCAAGGCCTCATGCGTTACTTTTCTGTTACCTTCTGTCAATGTCTGTGAATGATAATAGTTTACACTCCAAGATTTGTGTAGGTTGATCTTGGGTTTTGTGTGCAATAATTGCCAGTGTCAGTGGTATTGGGGATATTAGACTAGTTTGTGACTAAACTGCAAATGAATGAGTTCTATTAACCTTAGTAATACAGTATTAATTTTAAGATTGTGTTTTGTTATGAAAATTTCCTCACAAGCTGAGAGATACTTGCATGGATAAGCATGTGGCTGGTGTAGTGCAAGGGGTGGCAGTACCGGTGAGTAAAACCTTTTTGGTGATTGTTGGTTCCCTTTTCTCACGGTTTTCTTCATGCCACTTAAGACTCGGAGGAACTGGACCCAGGAGGAGGTGGTGGTAGCAGTGAGCAGTGCAGTGGGAGTGAAGGCAACAAAGAGAACAGCCCACAAGAGAATGGCAAGGGAATTCTCAGCCGTCGTCAGAAGAAGAATCGTGTTCGTCGAGATGATGGTTCGCCAGTAGCAAATCAGACTGGATCCTCAACTGCCAGCATGAAGAAGAGCAAAGCCAGGGCTAGGCGGTCAGCCAATTCTGGAGATTGGAACGGTAGCCGACGCCGTATCGCCAATGCCCCTGCGCTACGCCAGCATGCCAAGCTGAACCTTGCTGACTGCGACCTTTCAGTGTTCCTGCGTCATTATATTCTGAGTCCTGACCAACTCCTAGGTCTAGGCTACCCTGTGGAGAGTTCCTTATATCCTGGACGAGCAATTATCTACAAAAATCCTGCCACAAACAAAAGTTCCAACCAGTCTGTCCTCACAAACACTCATCCACTCACAACTTCTTCACACTTTGACGTCAATGCTCAGGAGTTTGTGCCTATGAGCGCTAAACAGCCTAAGGGAACACCATGTTATTACACTAATGGAAATATTATAAGAGAATCTCAAGGAGTAAATAGTACAATGTACATTTCAAATCTGGTAGATAGAGGTCATGCAGGATTGGAATATTGTCCAGTTGGGATTGAATGGAATGTTGAAAAAGGTGTGAAGCGAGAAGACCATGAGAACAATAATGTAGTTATCACTGCCTTATTGGATGACAGTCATACAAAGATCAGCTGTGAAGAAGGGTTTTGTAAAGGTTCTGAGAGAAAGTCCACTGACTCATTTGAGCATGTTGACTGCAGTGAGAAGGATACAAGTGTGATATTGCAGAAGGATGTAGATGAGAAGGAAGAGCAGAAGCAAGATTCAAAGAGTTCTCTGAAGAGCAAAGTCCATGAGCAAGAGTTGAGTGGTAGTGATGAGAAAAAGTGTGTCCGTTGTGGTCGTGGTTTCTTTGTGATGACAGATGGGGAGTATTTAACTCAGGAGCAGTGTCTGTATCATTGGGGGAAATTACAGAAAGTAGTGGGGCCAGGGCCAAATAAGATGGGTGTTACTACAGTTCGTACTGAATACAGTTGCTGTCGTGGCAAACCAAGTACACGTGGATGTACCACAGGAAAACTACATGTGTGGAATGGTGTTGGGCCTGGGATAAATGGTCCATTTGATGGCTATGTGCGTACTCGTCTTCGTAAGACTCCGCCCCCAGATGGAAATTTTGGAGTGTATGCGTTAGACTGTGAGATGTGTTTCACAACGCGTGGACTGGAGCTAACAAAAGTGACTGTGGTTGCTGCAGATGGGCGCCTTGTGTATGACTGCTTGGTGAGACCAGAGAACTTTATTATTGATTATAATACGAGGTTCTCGGGCATCACTGCACGTGATCTGAGCAAGCGTGCTACAAAATCTTTACGGGATGTTCAGAATGATTTAATGGGTTTCATCAATGCTGACACTATCCTTGTGGGTCATGGATTAGAAAATGACCTTCGTGCTTTGCGTATCATCCATGGCACTGTGATTGACACATCCGTGATATTTCCTCACTATTATGGGCTTCCATATCGCCGCTCACTCAAGTCATTGGTCGGTTGCTTCTTGAAGAGAAAAATCCAGCAGGATTCTTCTGGACATGATAGCTTTGAGGATGCACGAGCATGTATTGAGCTGATGTTGTGGAGGATTAGAAGGGATTTCCGCATGATTCTTGAGAATAGAGCACCACATTTTGCAGTTAGATGTTGAATGCTCAAGTATTTCTTCTACCTGCCTTTATTATTTGATGCGTTTGTCTCAAAATTGCAATATAATGGAGTACTTGGCTCTTCTTTTGAGTCTAAACGAACTGCGCATTTTCATTGTTAGATTTGATCTTTCAAGATCATTGTCATACTTGGGTTCAGTTTGCTGTGCTTAAGGTTTATTGTGTTGCAGTGTGTAGGAATATATATTTTTTGCAATGAAAAACTAATACTCATAAAATTTACATATATGGCAGCTAATATTTTAAAAAGAAAGATCTGTAGTAGTTTGACTTGATCAGATTTAAAGTTACAATATTTTGACTTGCACTGCACCTGTCATACCTGTTGCTGCATTAAATTTGAATAATGAGTGTTCTTGATGGTAAAGACAAAACATGCTAGTCATTATGCTGTACTGTTCCTTGGAACAGGGAACTAAAATTATGAGACATTGGTTGAATGTGAACAGATTGTAAGTCCTGTTTTAAGTACCTGTTCCTTTATTGAAGATTTGATTGTCAGAACTGTGATTTGTGAATTGTTGATTTCATTAAGCATATATTTTGGTTTTCATGTAATCTAAATGATTAATCCTTTCAATTGCAAAACCATTTGAAACTATTTGCTGTCTGCCATAGCAAAATAATAATACTGGTACAGAAAGTCTAATAGCAAGGATTTGGAATGGTTTGTTCATAGATCTTAGATTTGCAGATTGGAAAGAGTAAATATCTGGCACTGATTCAGGCTATACAGTTTTGTGTTTAATTTTTTGTTCCTTTTACATTTTATTGCAAAATAATTTGAAGGAAAGATGCTACCCTTTGGTGGTTGAGATGCTGTTTATAGTAAAATCACATTCACTGATCTTAATCCTGCAACATGTCTACAAGTAGTCTGTCAGCTGTGGACATAATTTAGAAGATTGTGTAGCATTCAGTTTATGAATCTCTGCACTGATGGATCACTGCCCACCTCCACTGCCGCAACAGTAGCCGCTGGACTGTGTTGTGAAATTGTGGTATGTATGACAAACATGTCAGTGAGTAAGTAACATGGTTTTGATGTGAAATGTCTTGTGGAAGAAAATAGAGTTGCTTTGTATTTATTTATTTTTAATGTGTGTTGCACTGGGTGTTATGAAGGTATTCATTCCTTAATTGTGATTAATTTAAAAATAGGAACTGGGATTCATGAATTTGTGATGGTTCATCTGAAATATATAATGGAATTGCAAGAACGGTGAATGTTATCATGACATGGGAACTGTGCAGTTCAAATTGTGATGATGGAAAGTATGATGAGACAGCAAGAGATGTAGGTTTTACTCATGTATGATATTTGATAGAAAAGTGACGTCTGGCTTTATGTTTTAGTTTATGGGAAAAAATTGTGATATTTAAAATGATTTTCAGTATTATAAATAGTTATAATTGTTTTTGTTGCCCCATAGTAAATAATTTTAGCCATCGT